CGTTTCTTGATCCCCTGTCAGTGGTCTTGTTATTTTTTTCCCCTCCCCACGTTTTCGTGTCCATTAGTTTTCGTGACGCAAATTCATGCCCGTAGACACGAACGTCGTGTCTTTTAGTGCCAAGTGTCCCATTTTGTGTGCGCTCTTTTTTTTTTGGTCGGTGTTTACAGTTGCAACATTGTAATTTCACAAGGGAAGCAATTATTAGCAAGCCACACGTTGTAATCTAGCGCTGCAATACTTGCCATCGTCTTCGATTCAAAAATGAATATCCATGTTATTATCTGGGTGGATAATTGGAAAAAGAAACAATTTACTGTAGTGCACTATTGGTCAGCACACACTTTTGAGGTTCGAATCGTGATTGCAGCTTCTTGTGTTAGGTTTGCATGTTGTCCCTGTGTGAAGTTTTTTTTTCCATGCATACAATATGCATGTTAGATGGACTCTCAACCCTCCGTAGGTGCGAATGGTTGTTTGCGTGTTTGCTGACTAGAAGTCCAGGGTGTTTCCTGCATGTCCCCCATGGAGCTCCTCTCACAAGCACAATAAATAGATGTTTAAATTCCGCTAACAGCATCGTGTGGCGCTAAAGCCAAACCAGCCAACCTTCAACATTATAATACAATACATATTACATAATACAGTACAATATTGTATTGTACAACATTATAACAGTGTTTGGAATTAAGCTAGTTTAGCCTTTCACCACACAAAAGTCTCAAAAGGCTTCCCAAACCCACATTTGACAAATAGTGACATCCCCAGATTTAACCCCACCCCTAAAAGGGCTAAGCAAAACAAAGATAAAAACCAGAAAAGGGGGGGGGGGGGTATAAAAAAGAAGAAACTTTAAAAGGGGACTGCAAATGTGGAGATTTCCTCTTCCAGGATTACCTGACCACAATGGATGCTGAGTGGGCAACATTTAACACATATTATTAAGTAACATGAAGTGCCGTAGGAAGACACCTTTGGAGAGGTGGATCCTCTTCAAAACCCAGCGTGGTCACTCGACGCTGAATTCTCTGTAGAGATGCTGCTGGGTTAGTGGCCCACCTCACGTCTTGTCCGGATTGGTCGGTGCAGAATCCATATAGCAGCAGCATCATATGTGACTGAAAAAGAAAAACAAAAAACCGAAAAATATGCACCACCACAACCTTTGCAATGTATTTATTCATATAGTGTTTATATTAAGGCAAACCACATACTTGAGGGTCTTAACAGGTGTAATTAAGATAATTTCCAGTTAGTCATATGGATAGGTTTGATGTGTAAACATGATAGTCCTTCGATTCAACCTACAGCACAATACACGACGGCTCATAGCGTGTCCTACGACAATATGCGGTCCATACTCTGCTGCAGTGCAATCAAAGTGCTACTGCAGCTAATATGGAACAAGAGATAAGAGCTTCATTTCCACATCCACGCAGCCCACTCAGTCTTCAGTGCATCGCTGCAGTTGTGTTGGCACCGGTTTGCAGCATGCATCAGTGGTTGTGGGTAGTGGGATGCTCGTCCATTTTCTATAGCACTGGTCGGTCCACAGTATATCCAAGCTGACTTTTGATGAGAGAAACAGTACGTACGTGCTGGAATAGACGCCGGTTAATCACGGGGCACACATAGACAAAGAAGTCATCGCATTAATGAATATGAGAATGAGGAATGAATAAATCAAATATTTATCACGACGATCTTTATTACAAACCTTGTTGTTTTGGGCAGCCTGGTGCTTAGCTGGTTTGGATGTCATTCATTCATCGTGCTTGTGAGAGGAGCTGCATGGAGGAGAGGTAGCATACACCCTGGATTGGTCGCCAGCTAAACGCACGGCGCTTATGCAAGCATTCACTCTCATGTTCACACCTGTGGCCTTCAACGGAGCTAACATACATGTCAGTTGAGGGTTTTTTTTTTTGTTTTTCTTTTGCACAGAGATCCCACAAAATGGCACCAGACATGTTTGACCACCTGTGCTTTTAATGCCGAAACCAGTGCAGCACGATTTCTTTTCACCCAGAAGAATACAAGGTTCCACGTTAAGCCTTTTTGCCAGCGTCTGCGAACTTCAGGTGTCCAGTCGCGTAGTGGCAAACGGGCCACTAGTAATGCCAAGCCCTGGAAATAGTTTGCAGTGTTGTTTAGCATGACGCTAGCGGATGTTTGTCCGCTTAAATACATAAAATAAATTGTTCAAAATAAATGAATTTTGTTTTAAGTGGTTTGTCTACAACATATAATGAAAAAGAATCTTTTAATTTTATGTTTACTTTGACACTAAACTTCCTAGGAGTGTTAACAGCTTGAAGCAAGACAGTGGCCTCCTTTATGATCTTTTATCTGTCGAACTGACGCTTGTTTTGAAGTTCGCTGGCACCATCTAAGCAGTCGTGGCTCAAATTTTCGCTTTGCAGCTCAAGACAAGAAATCAGCCGACAAACCGCTCGTATCTTGGAAAAACTCGTCAAGTTGAGGTACCACTGTCCACGGTGGACAGTGGCGAGCAGGAAGTATGGAGCTGAACTTCATACCCTGGTCCTGGTTTTCTGAAATACATTTTGGCAGCGGTGGTGCTGTTCAAGCTCTGCCCTTGAAAGCAGAAAATCACCAGTTGGACTTTGTACCCCTGCCCCCCATCCCCCATTCTGTGCCGTTCATACAGAACAGCAACTCTGAAAAAAGGAGATATTTTTTTCTGGTATTGTGCAAAGGGCTTGTCTTTTAATGTGTTACACGAAGCAGTGATTATATGTGGGGCTTTACTTGTTACAGTAGAATATGCCGCCTCATGCGGGACCCACCCCCACTTTGCAGATCTATAATTAGCCATGCTTATTTGGGTTGCCAGCTAGGCTGTTACATATGCAAAACGAGTGTGGTGTTCGTGTTTATTGATTGTGAATGAAGCATACATGATGGATAAGGCTCCACAATGCCGCCTCTCCTTCTCCATCCATCTTGAACCGATTGCGTCTTAAGTGGAGTGATTGAGCTTCTGCAGGATATGAAAGTTAGTATGTGGATATACTGCCTCCCAAGTTGCTTGTTGAATCAGTCAAGAATCACTTGACTGGATTTGGATTTGTTCCACTGAGATGCAAAGACCTTAATTCTGAGTCTCAGCGCCCCTTCCCCCTCTTCAGTGATCAATAAGGTTGTTGGCTAGCGACGGTCTTTTAGCGCTGTAATCTCATGGCTAATTCCCCCGTGTCGTTTGCTGCGCTGAAAATACCGCAACCTCTCTTAGGCTGGATTTACATTGCAGGGTCAAGTCGCCAATCCCGATTTAGTGATCTTGCGTTCGTTTTAAAAAATATACAGGCACACTTCAATAACACATACAGTATCCAAAAAGTTTGTTTGTACATTCATGCAGCACACGAAATATTCTTACCTGAAGTTTCATGCACCTATTATGTTGCATATTTAAACTATATGCAATGTTCGATACAGCTGTAGTATAATATTTTTACACCATACTTAATGTTCTATTAGGGCTGCGCAATTATGGGGATCATGATGATTTTGTTTGCTATTCAAATCAAGATTATTCGATTATTATATCCGATTTATTCACCAACTTTAAAACGGAATGTTCATTCAACGACGAAGTAAACTATAAATCAAACTTTATTCTGCCATCATGAATATCCCATTTGTAACAAGTGAGAGCAAAAAAAAAAAAAAAGTGTCACTTGAACTATGTAGCACACAGGTGTCAAAGTCAAGGCCCCGGGGCCGGATTTGGCCCGCCACATCTTTTTATGTGGCCCACGAAAGCAAATCAAGCACGTCAAGTTCCACGATGCATGCTAAAGTCTGAACCAAAATTTCAAATTGTCATATGTAATCCACAATAAGAGTCATTATTCTTGACTTTTGATTTTAAAACTAGTTATTCATCAATTTGTTGTGCGTTGTGTATGTAATATGTGGAGATAATTAAACATTTATATGGTTTCCCAAAATTCATAACGGCCCTCCAAGGGAAAGTGGAACTACAATGTGGCCCGCAACAAAAATGAGTTTGACAACCCTGATGTGGCGCAAATCAACCCTCAGTTAAATGTTGTCTTGGCACAGCGCTAATCGTCTATTCTTGGAAACTGACAAACGAACAATGGGGGGAGTAGGTTAGTCTGGTGCGATTGCATCCTCACGGGTCATGTTTCACAACTGTTTCGCAACCCTGCGCGGCGCGAAAAGACACTCCCGGTACTTTTGAGTATGTCACGTGAATACCAATAAGTTCTCGTTTCTTCTCTCCTCAGGGAAATGAAGCCAGCTACCCTCTGGAAATGTGCACACATTGTAAGTGCTGCCACCATTCCAATATGCACTAAGAACAGGCTATCGATAAAAGGCTTGCACGGTCTAGTTCACATCTCTTACCCAATTACCTCGACAATGTCGGAACTCGGAGTTCCGCCGGGGGATTGCATCGGTGTCACTGGCACATTTAACGCAGCGGACGCGGTGGGCAAGCGCTAAAACGGGCGCATCAGCAGCACGTGCCGTTTCAATTAGCTTCGAAGCTGTCACGGGGCTGCACTGTAGTGGAAACGACACAGTTACGTGTATTTCATTGGATAGTGAGGATGGTAAGAGCTATCAACTTTATAAAAAGTAAAAAAAAAAAAAAACCTTAACCAAGAGCCTGACTGCATTTTCAGCATGTCAGAAGAGTCTCTGCCCGGACATGTTTGTTGCAAAGGGGCTTCCCTGGGGGAAATTCCCATGAGTTGCTGCTGTGGCAGGGCAAAGGGTGTGAGTGTCAGTTTTTCTTTTTTCTTTAAAGCAGCCGCTATAAAGAACACCTGGCCGTACGATAGTAGCCCCACCAATTTCCAGCATGCCTAAAACTGAGAGAAGTACTCAGAAATGATTTTTAGAACCCAGTATGTAAACTGCAAACAAGGACCTCATAGTATTACGTAACTAGTTGTAATCTTCCTTCTTCACCTCAGCGAGATGTTTTTTGGGCACGATGTCTGAAACGCTTAAGTGCTGACTAGTACTCGGGGAAGCAATCGAGACAGTTCTGATGGTTGTTGTACCAGTCCGTAAATTGACTACAATAATAATGTGAGTTTTCTACAATCCCAATCCCCTTTTGGGATATTATTTCCTCAAATGCTGACTGGAACTAGCAGTTTGTTTCCCAAAAAATCTGACTACATGTGCAGTTAATAAATAATAATATCACACCAGAAGACCGTGTGCCATCTGCATGCCGCAAGTCATGTCCTTGACCTAGTTGCAAGTGGCAGCATCTTGGCTTCGATCAAGCATTTACGACTTTCCTGCCAGCATGACTGGAGCAGCCCCTCCACCCCAAAGTTAACTTCATGTCAAATAAACACTTGAGGTGGGCTGGGCAAAAGCCAGCAAATGAGCACTAAAGTGTCTGACCTCTCATGTTTTCCCATCTCAGTTGACCCGGACGAGATCAAGCGTCTGGGGAAGCGCTTCAAGAAGCTGGACCTTGACAACTCGGGGTCGCTCAGCGTGGAGGAGTTCATGTCGCTGCCTGAGTTACAGCAGAACCCTCTCGTGCAGAGGGTCATCGACATATTCGACACGGACGGCAACGGAGAAGTGGACTTTAAAGGTGGTTTCCACCGTATTTTCCTGACTATAAGGCGCACCTAAGAGCATTCCGTTTTTACGAAAGCCGACTGTGCGCCTTGTAATCCGATGCGCCGGATATATGGATCAATATTCTGATTTCTCGGACGTAGTATTTTAAATGTTCTGTGAAGCGCTTTGTTACACACTTGTGAAAGATCTATATAAAAAAAAAGCTGTATTGTATTGTATTCCCTTTAGTGTAGCTCCATCTAATGGATGCAAAACGCAACCGCAGCCACTATTGTAGCTTCTATTCCATGCACCTTATAATGCGGTGCGCCCTATATATGACAACAGTTTAAAAATAGGCCATTCATTGAAGGTGTGCCTTATACAACGAAGCGTCTTATAGTGCGGAAAATACGGTATTCTGGCTACATGGTTGTTCTTTTCACTGTGATGCTGGAGTTCTCTCCCAGTTTGAGAACCACTTCCCGAGTGTATCTGTAGAGATTTTTGTGTGGTCCGCACCGACTTTGATGCAATCCCATCGTACAGTAAGTCAGTTCAGCATTGATTGACTTTGACCCTTTTCTGTCACAGAGTTCATTGAAGGAGTGTCACAGTTCAGCGTCAAAGGCGACAAGGAGCAGAAGCTTCGATGTAAGTTTACAACTTTTAGCCTGGGAATTTCTGGGGGAAAGAAAAGTATCAAAGTAACTTTGACATGACAAACATGAGCGTTTGTTAGATCATCTTTGTTTTCGGGTGGTTTAGGTGTCGCTAAGCAGTTTCAAAATACAGTCTTCCCCTGCTGTTAATACTGTACTAATGTTATACAGACTGAGCCCCGTCGTAAAAGGGAAAATCTGTGAGGAATTGATAGCATCTGTCAGATAATTTTCATTTTAGGTTTATTTTTGTTGTGGCAAGATGAGATGGGCCTGCAATAGTAAAAGTATTTCTCCATTAGTAATAATTAAGAAAAAAAAATTGTTAGAGTTGCCTGACTTCCTACCCACTTACAGTCGCATTCCGGATCTACGACATGGACAAGGATGGCTACATCTCCAACGGCGAACTGTTCCAGGTGCTCAAGATGATGGTGGGCAACAACCTGAAAGACACACAGCTGCAGCAGATTGTGGACAAAACCATCATCAACGCCGACAAGGACGGTGATGGCAGGATATCTTTCGAGGAGTTCTGCGCGGTGAGTCACGGGACTCCGCGGATTTCTTTTGTGATGACGTGTATTCGCAGACATTATTGTTGAAGATGCTCACCAAAACATCAGCATCTATGGGAGTGTGCAAGCTTTTAATGTGCCTGGGCAAAACATGACTTTTCCAATGGCAACTTGAAAACAAAACTAGACATCTAAGAATTTTCATCAAAGTACCCCTTGTTCTCAAGACTGCGGCTGAACCAGGATGTGGCTGTTCGAGTGCTCATTAGGACCGTGAAATTTGAAATTCAGTGCCATCTAGGCATTATGTTCCTCCAGACAGGAAAAAAAAAGAATCCTTAATGAGAAAGTGTCCTTTTTGCTCAGTGGGGCATCATCTGATGGTCATCTGCAGAGCAGTAGAAGAAAATATCATCTTTTCTGAAGATGCAACCCAAGGGCAGCAAATACAATGAAAACAGCAGGGGCCCCAAAATTGAACCTTGTGGAACATCATAGGGCAGTGGGGCAGAGCAAACAGAAAAAGTTGTCTGCCAAATAGGATCTAAACTACTGCCGAGGACCTATTTTTTTAATCTAGTTAATCAGGTTATGCATGTGCGAGCATACGTATGCTTGTAGGGATATGTTTGTTTGTATGTTGGAAGCGCGTCCTCTTTTTATGTTGTATTTGGGATGTTTTAATTGCACAACTCATTGAGTTGAATTTTTATGTATGAAAAGGGCTATTTCCTGTAAAGAAAGTTTGATTGATTGACCCAATTTCCATCCGTCTCCTTTGCAGGTGGTGGGCGGCCTGGACATACACAAAAAGATGGTGGTGGACGTGTGAGCGCACCCCCACCTCTCTTCTCGACCCCCCTCCAGCTCGCTTGAGTCTCCCTGCCCTCCTGAGTTCTCCTGGACGCTCGCTTCCTTCGCCTTGTCCAGCAAAGTCAAGAAAAAAAAACGCCTCAGTGTTACGCCAGCGGAACATTTCCGTCTCGCTTTTCCACCACGAAGAGCCTCGTTCAAGTGTTAAGTGAAGGGCGAAGGCTGCCTATCCAGTCAAAAATTTAAAAAAAATAAAAAATAAAAATGACTGAGGATGTGGAGGTGACTGAAAGGTGAAGGGAGGGAATTCCACCTTTTTCAAATATTTATTTTAGTTTTCTTCTTATTTTTTATGTGATAGAAGTATGTGTACATTTAGCCACGCTTGACTTTACAGTGCAACTCGCCGGTTGGGTATGAAGTGCCAAGCAAACATATCCGCACGCACACACACACACACACACACACACACACACACACACACACACAGACACACAGACACACACACACACACACACACACACACACACACGCACACAGGTTATTACCCAAAATGTATTTTAAAAATACTTAAGAAGATTCTCCACATTTTTTTTTTGTTGCTTGACAAGACAAACTTGAGCAACTGCTATTATCTTCATTTTGGGTGTTTTTATTGTCACGAGACAGGCCTGCAATGAGAAATGCATTTCACTGATTGTTTTTTTTTTTTTTTTAATTGATCGACCGACTTGGAACAAAAAGTAATTTTTTTGCTTTTGGAAAAATAATGACAAAAATAAACTTGAGCATCTGTCAGATAATTTAGTTTTAGGGTGTTTTTATTGAGGTAATCTGTATTTTTGAGATGTTTTTGTTGTTGCTAGATGGGCCTGGAATAATATAAAAAGGGATTTCCAGTAATTTTTGTTGTTCAGACTATTGGGAAATAAACTAGATACCTGATAATCTTTAGTTTAGGACATTTTTAGTTAATGCAAGATGGGCCTGGAAAATGTATTTTCAAAATGATTTATGAAAACAAAACTGTCAGATTGGCTTCATTTCAGGTTTTTTTCTCGGTTACGCATGCTGGAGGAGTTTTTTTTTTGGGGGGTGAGGCGTGTATGCTTCTGTATAAACTACAAATTTTGTTTGTTTTCATTAAAAGGGCCTGGAAAATGACTGCCATCTTAGAGCAAATATATTTTCAAAGTAACACTTAGCATCTGATATATTTGTCATTTTAGAAGACTTTTGTTTTGACTTGGACGGGACATTTTGGGTAAATATCTTTAAAATAATTCAGGGAAAAAAATTAACATCTGTCAGGTAATTGACATTTTAGGACATGTTGTTAGATGGGCCTGAAACGACAAAACAATTTCTCTAAATATTTCTGAGAAAATAAACTGGAAGTGGACTGGCTGCTTTGAGCTTAATACAAAAAACTGGAACGTGCATGACGTGGACTTTGTATTTTTTTTTTCTCGCATGTCATTGAACACGTTTGGAACGAATCGTCTTGTTTACACACGGATGTGAATAGAAACTAATAATAGATGTACACAAAATGGGTGTTGCCAAATGGTTGGTCTCCACATGAACTCGACTGCAGTACAGTACATGTCATATTAATAACTGAGGTTTTTTAAAAATGTTTTGTATATACATATTTGTTAAACACACTTCTGTCTCTGTATAGTGGGACAACTTCATGCTTCGATTGCAAGTGATTCATCTGAGTTCGTGTGCGGGGGGGATATCAGATAGATATGACGATATACAGTATTTAAGATGTTTGTTCTTCCATTTTTCTGCATGCCGCAATTTATGCTAAGGGGCTGTTGAAAACTTGATACAATATGAACACGAAAAACCATTGAAATAAACTGAACTGTTAAAATGAGGTGTCCGGTTTGTATTTTTTAAAATGCTGAATCAGTAGGTTTTTCATTTGTGCTGCATCACTTTTTTTGTTATTTTACATGCTCAAATATTTTGTCAGATGGTATTTTAGAGAAAATGTCAATTATTGATGCTGTAGTTTTTAATATTTCAGTTATTTAGGTCAGCACAAGGTGGCCAACTATTGCACAAAATGGACTCCATTGATGATTTGCATTTTTTTAAACATATATACACAAAAGTCACACAAAGATTCATCACACTCGTATTAAATTCGTCTGACGTCAAGTCCATGATGAACAAATACAAATGAACTCCCATTCGAGGTCTTCTCAACCCATCACCAAAGACCAGATCAGAATCTTTCCGCAGATCTGCTGGCGACCACTCGGATGTTTCCGTAGACCTTGGATGGTGGACTTCCTGTTGTGGATAGAGGGGTTATTAATAGAGTTCATTCATTTACAGCATTTTCTGCACTATAAGGGGCACCTAAAAGCATTTCATTTTCTCGAAAGCCGACAGTGTGCGCCTTATAGTCCGGTGCGCCTTATATGTGGATCAGTATTTTAATTTCTTGGATGTAAAAATTTCAACGTTCTGTTGAGCACTTTGTTACAGCTGCTGCGGTTGTGAAAGCTCAATATGAATAAAGCTGTATTGTATTGTATTCATTTAGCGTAGCTCCATCCAGTGGATGCATAATGCAACTGCAGCCACCATTGTAGCTACTATTCTATGCACCTTATAAGGCGGTACGCCCTATACAGTATATGAAAACAAACTCCGAAGCGCCTTTCAGTGCGGAAAATACGGTTCTTGGAAATGAGACCCTGGCAATGAACATGCTTTGCGCTAACCCCATTTCTAAAAATCTCTTTAAGTGTTTGACATTTTCAAAAGAATAGTTGTATGGCATTCCTAAAAGATCACAACGTCCCATATAGTGAGCAAAATGGCCAAATGACAGGAAAATGGGAATATATAAACCCTAGAACACAGCCGTATAACCTCAAATCACTGCCGCAACATGACAACAACTCTCATTCTAAGTGGCTGAAATCTCAAAATAATGATCGCTTACCTAGGATGAGGTTGCATATGGCAGTCCGGGCCATCCGAATGTTTTGAAAGGAGCCCAAAATGTGCACTTTGCTGTGGACGCAACACAACAAGACACGACAATCGTCAACCCGTAGCACAATTCCAAGTCTTATTTTTCATCAACTAACGTGTCGGCCAGCACGATGCGAGTCTTGGTGACATTTTCGATGGTAAATTTGGTTTTTCCTCCTTTGCCTGCGATCCTGCCGATGGCTCGAGACAAGTGGTCACCCTTCAGTGGCTTCACTGCAGAAACAGATTAAGGGAAGTAAAACCAACAACAACACATTAATAGAACATCTCAGCTTTCCGTTTAGTGGAGTAGAAACGGAAGGTTCTTTTTACCGTCTGTGACATCAAAGGATTCGAGAAAGAGCTCGTCCAGTCTGATTAGGGCCAATGCATCCTGGGAAGTGACCACAAACATGTCCATTTGTATGACTCGGATTGAAACAAACTCTAGCATGCCACTTTCAAGACTATTTCCACATTTGCTGACAGTATTATGTTCAAGTGGAAAAAAAAAAGGTATAAGTAACAACACTCTTACTTCAACCTGGAAGCCCAGAATGAAGGCTTTTACGAAATCAGCTGCTTTGGTGAGTGAGGCGATGTCTTGGGTCTCTTTGCAAGTCTGGAAAGTAGGAACCAAAAAAAAGGGAAAATCAAATAACAATTTTTAGGACCAGGTCCTCCTGGAATGCTTGAGTGATGACTCTCTTGAGAAATGGATCGCCTGTTTTGGCGATCTCACCATGCCACAAATCACCTCTAAACTCTCTCAGTAGCACTCTCTTGAAAATTTGAAAAAAAAAAAAACACTTTCAACAATTAACACAAGTTGGTGGACTCACAAAAAAGTCTCAAGAACACATTCCTGAAATTGAATAGAAGCTCATCCATTTTGGCTCAAAAGAGTCACTTTGGATGATTTTGAGAGTTGATTGACTTTTCAAGGCTTTGTTTAAAGTTACAAAAAAACCCCAATAAATACCCGCCATTTCACCCATCAATCTGAAATTTGGTGAAAATGTCTTATGACACGACACACCAAAAGTTCCTTGCCTGGAAATTGAATAGGAGGTCAGCCATTTTGGCTACAAGCAGTCGTTTTGGACCAAATGCTAAATTTCAACCACTTATCTTTATAACAATGGTTTATTTTCTATGCCGTAACCATAGCAATTATAATTACTGTCACTCACTTTAATTTCCACATTTCGCGATTTGAGGTTGAATCGGACTTGAAGCTGTAGGTTCTCTACGATAGGAGTGAAGATCTTCAGCCAGTTCTCCTTCAGCGGCGTGTAACGATGAGCCGGGACGGCCACTTTACGCATCTGATCATCACCCTAAAAAGACAAACATTTACATTATAACTCCTTCTAGACATTTTAAGCACTTTAAACGCAATGCAATCTTTAATACCCTTAATTTGTCGAGCGAAATCGGTGGAAACTGTGGCCTCTTGCTTGCGACAGGACCCTCTGTGTCCATATCAGGTGCCTCGAGTTTCCTCTTTTGGCTCTTTTTAGACTTGACTTTTGTAAAACTGTCACTGTCATCCTGCTTTTCAACCACGCCAGCTTCCATTGCGTCATTTGTTAGCGAATCCATAGTGAAAATCACGTTAAAAAAGTTCAATTGTCAAGTAAAATGTAAGCAATACAGCGAACACAGAGGCTGGTGGTGTCCTCGTGCAACAGGGAAGACCTATAAGGCAATATCGATGTCGCCTGAATAAAAAAGAAATTCGCCAACGAGGATTATTCAATTTTTAATAATGCCCATGTGAATTCACCATAATAGAAATCAGCAAATTGTAATTTTTCATGAATGTGTTCAATGTTTAGTTGAATATTTTATTTCAGGCATATTTTTGAGCGCTCGTGGTCATTACGTCGTGTGTTTTGGTCACGTGGATTCATGAAAGCCCTCCAGGTTGTGGCGTCATGCGTTTGACCTCATACTAGGTCCTTTTTGCACCTTTTTTCGCACATTTAAAGATTAAATTAGGGTTTACTGGAGGGCAACCGAGATGTCAACCCCACTTTCGAAGCCCCAAATTATCGCACACATTCAGAAGAGTTTAAATTACACAGTTTTCGACTGCAAATGGATACCGTGCAGTTCCAAATTCGTGTGTCTCGGAAACTTTCCGAGAGGAACCGGAGTCATGCAAATATACGAGATGCAGCATGGAGACGCTCAGCTCATCAAAGAGGTAAGCAGGATATTTCAGATGTGAGATAACGCTTAGTCCACAGTTCAAGGCTTTGGCGATGAAGAGTGGTATTTCCAATTTTCGTTTGGTACCTCGTCTCCATAGCAACAGGAGAAGTGTACGTGTGGAACGTTCAAATCCAACAGGATTTTATATTTTTTAGAATACGTATTGTTTCCACGTGGGCCAAAATAAACACTCCAGTTATGTTAGGAGACATGTTAAAGGGTCAGGAGTAATAGGTTGACTCAGTCACGGGACACAGTGTAAGGTACCCCTGAAGATTCCAAATATCATTTGCGAGATATCACTTTTCAGATATACAAGTGCTCGCTTTTGAGGTGTTAATTTAACAGTGTTTATTCTTGCCGTTTTTTTTTTGTCTCATAAAGATGAATGTGCCACGAATGATCACCTTTACTTGAGTCATAAACGTTGTCTCCTGTATCATTTATATTCCAGGTGGAGAAAGCCAAACCCATCAAGTGTGGCACCTTTGGGGCCTCATCTCTTCGCCAAAGACACATAGCGACAGGGGACTTTGACGGAAATCTAAACATATGGTAATCCCTAATAATATGTAAACGACGGCGTTTTTTTTTTTTGCTTTCTCCAGTTTTTAATCCAACAATTGTCTAGGAACCTGGAGGAGCCCAACATACCTGTGTACTCCGTGAAGGCCCACAAGGAGATTGTCAATTGCATCGACGCCGTCGGCGGGCTCGGCATCGGCGACGGGGCGCCTGAGATTGTCACCGGAAGCAGAGACGGTACATCAGCGCAACTTTTGTTTGACTAGAAGTTAGTAACAATATGTCTTCTATTAATGATATATGATATTTCTTTGTAGGTACAGTGAAAGTGTGGGACCCTCGGCAGCGTGACTCACCCGTGGCCAACATGCAGCCCGTGGAAGGAGACGCCAAGAGAGACTGCTGGACGGTCGCCTTTGGTTCGTCGCACCTCCATAGCAACACAGCCTTTTACCAGATCCGTCTTTCAAGATGACGTTGTGCTTTCTTTCACAATTTAAAATAGTTTGCAAGTGTTTTGTTGGCCCATCTGTGGTTTAAAACATCGAAAGGATCAAGAATTATAGAGACATTTTTCAAAGCCTTTTTCTTGCCATGGTGAAATTAGCTCATTTCAGGGTCCAACTTGCCTAATGCAATGAACCTGCCTTCATCCCGCTCCACGTCAAGATTGATTAATTTTATATTCTATTCAATTCAATAAATCATACACCCCCTTTAACTAGCACCTGTGCTCACAGGCCACGCCTTCAACGATCAGGACCGCTGCGTGTGTGCCGGCTACGACAATGGCGACATCAAACTGTTTGACTTACGCAACATGTCGCTGCGCTGGGAGACCAACATTAAGAACGGGGTGAGGACCACACACACACACACACACACACACACACACACACACACACACACACACACACACACGTGGAATGAAAGTGTGTTAATTGTGTACTGTTGACGTTTGATGGCAAGTGGCAGGGAGAGTGGCTTCAAAGGGAGATGAGCCACTAAAAGATTCAAAATTTGACATTCCGTTTCCTGTGCTATGTGACAATACAATACAGTACATGCTGATTTATATAGCGCTTTCACAACAGCGGCAGATGTAACAAAGCGCTTAACAAAACAGTTAACATAAAGTGAAATAATAAACACAACACATAACATAAAACACGGACAGTCGTGCAGTCCTAACCACTTTTCCCTCATGAGGACATTTTCTTTGGCAGCTCTGGGGAGTCCAATAACAGGAGACGATTGTGGACATGCTCGATGCGCGGTGTTGGCGCGTTATGATTCTCACCATTTGAAGTACGACCACGAATAGCTCTTCACTTTTTGCTCACATTCCGCCTTGTCTGCAGAGATGAAAGTCCTCCGGATTTTCCCGGAATTCCGGGTTTTTCAAATTTTTATGAACATTTCTCCGGAGAATTGAGGAAAATTTGCATAATCCGGATATTTGTTGACAACATTGAACGAAGACGCGTTTGAGTTCGTTGTTTTGCTTTCACGAGCGTAGCCATATTGAGGCACTAACACTAGTAACAGTAAAGAGGCAGAAAAACGTGTCCGTTCGACTTCGAGTGTCGTCTCGGCTATCTTAGCTTAGCTGTTGTCGTATATCGTGTGTGACGTCGGTTGCGTCGGCGCTGAATGGTTGAAATCACAAGACGTGCTTGCGTACATGTTCGCGCTGACGCACGCAAGCAGAGAGCAGCGGACTATCTACTGCTGAGGCGCGCTTCGCTCGAGTGGCATCACCACAACAGTAATACCCTCGCCTCGCATTCTCATGGCCTCGCCATATCTTGGAGATTTCGAAATTTCGGCCCGAACGGAAGCCACAAAGGGTACACGTGTGCACTCAAAAGTAAGATTAATCATTGAATGTCGAGTATTTGAATAGCGTTTTGTATAAACTAATTCATGCTTGATCAGCCAAGTGCGTGCGTGCGCGCGCGCATGTGTGTGTGTGTGTGTGTGAGTGTGTGTGTGCGCGCACACACACACACACACACACACACACACACACACACACATTTATTTATTTATTTTTTCCGGAATTTTCAGAAAAGTCCACTTTCAACTCTGTGTCTGCCAGGTGTGCTGCGTGGAGTTCGACAGGAAGGATATCAACATGAATAAAATGGTGGCCACCTCACTGGAGGGGAAATTCCATGTGTTTGATATGCGGACTCAGCACCCCACCAAGGGTTTCGCTTCCGTTTCTGAAAAGGTAATGGGAAGTATTTATCTTCTTTTCTCCATTTGTGAGCTTCCAAGGGAAATTTGTGGGGAGCATTTCCAGAGCTGCAAGTGCTTGTCCCTCATCCTCTGTGGGTTGACAGCATTAAATGTCTGTTAGCGTTATGTTCGCTTTCAAATGGTTCCATTGACGTCTGGTAGCATTAAACTTATTTTCTTTTAAATGGTTAAGAAAATGGGAGCACTGACAGTTTAATATGTAACAACAGTTTCCAATTCTGAAAATTATTATTGTCAGTAGTTTTAACCCATGACAGTTAATATCCAACAAATTTATTTTGATTGAATTTTATTTCATTTGTGGAGACATTGTAAATAATTTACTGAACAATTTTGCTGGGTATAACCATGTTGTTGTTTTTATTTATTAAATGTAATTTATTGTTGTCCAATTTTAGTTAGTTTAATTTTATAAAGGTTTTTTTCTTCATATTAAATTTTCCTTTGGTAACCATGTTATTGTCCAAATTCAAATTATTTATATATTATTTCTCAAATAATTTTGCTGGTGATGTTTCAAAATATATTTTAACGTAATTTAATTTGATCTTCTTTGGATTTTTTTTTTAGGCCCATAAATCAACCATCTGGCAGGTGAGACATTTACCTCAGAACCGAGAAATTTTCCTGACGGCTGGCGGCTCGGGCAGCCTTCATCTGTGGAAATAGTGAGTCGGAATTTTTGAATTCATCCATCTCAGACACTTCCCTGTCAAGGATGTTCTTTCACTTACACATTTCACGCTTTTTAAAATGTATGTTTTTCTTCCCTCTGTAGCGAGTACCCTGCACAGCGCAGCAAGAAAGAATCAGACGGCAACAGCGTGGGTGTGGCCGGCTCGGTCAGCCTCCTGCAAAACGTCACGATGTCCACGCAGCCCGTTGCCAGCCTGGACTGGAGCCCTGACAAGCTGGGCCTCTGCGTGTGCGCTGGATTTGACCAGACAGTGCGCGTGCTCATTGTCACCAAACTCAACACCGTGTGAAAATGAAGCCAGAGCTGGAATGTTTCACTGGGAAATTGGAAACCCAACTGGACCTTTTTGAATGGGAAGTTGCTTTTTACATGTCGAAAATTAACCACAATGTTGCCTTTCATGCTAAAAAATCATCTAATTAAATCAAAAAAAACGTTATGTTTAATGTTTTTTATTTTTTTGTTTGTTTGAAGAATTGTGTTTCCTCCAATTAAATTGCTCTGAAGGGGGTAAACCCTTTTTTGTAATGTAACTGACAGCTCCTCACACTTAATTGCCTCTGCAGTGGTGCCTGGCGTGTTAAATAACCACATGACTTTGCTTTACAAAAATTTGCTGTATGAATTCAAGCAGACATTAGAAATGAGTACAAACAGGCTTACAACTAGCATAAATGTCACTGTGCTATAACGTTTAAGCAAGAGATATTTTTATCGGCAATAGTGCAGCAATATATTGAACGATACGACAATACTCAAAGGAATCTATCCTCGTCGAAAAACAACTTTTATTACTGCGTCTTAAATTCAAAACTTTTTTCTGCCTATATTATACCGCCCTCTGGTGGCCAACACCTGCAAGACAATAAACGCAATTTAGGGTTGGAGTGAATTCAAGGCTTTTCTATCTTTTCATTGAGGAAAGCCAAATGGAGTAAAAAAAAAAGGTTATTTTGAGGGGAAAAAATTACAGCTTGCATGTATGTGTACATAAACATGTGGTGAGACTTCATAATAAAATGAACTACCCCGTGCCATGAAAAGTGTTACCGTCCATAATATTTCATAGTCGTCAAACTGAATCGCCACGGTGTTGTGTGTGTTAATCTGTGTGCTGGTTCTTTTAATAAAGAGATTTGTAACATACATAACTACCTCGGCTCCAGCACCCCCTGCGACCCTTGTGTGGACAAAGCAGATCAGAGAATGGATGGATGGATGGACAACTACCAAATACAATTGTAATTCAAATGGTTTGTTACAACAACAACACAAGTACCAATCAAGTCTTTGAACTAGTTTGCAAATAGCCGTTTAAAATGACTAAAAAAAGCCATTTACCTGGATTTAGCCAGGTAAATCCTCACTAAAGGCCCAGGTACCAAATGCAAACTCCTTAAAAAAAGTAAAACAACACTACGTTCTGTTCACTATTAACATGATCTTGAAAGTCCCACCCTAGTGTGGTCCTTTGAAGAATTGACTTTGAAATGAAGAAGCTAAAAGGTCAACGCCGGCAATTTGATCTTTTCTTCCTGACCTTTGACTTCATTTGTATCCCCTGTGATCCCTATACTGCAACATCACTCAGTAGATACGAAACATAAATGCTAAGAGGTTTATAGATAAATTATCCATATTAAACGACGTGAAAGCTCAATTTCAAGCACAAATAAACAAGCTGTGAAAACGTTTATGTTTCTAATTGACCACACAAAATACGTCACTGCTTCTATTGGCCAGCAGTGAGGCACTGCCGTCTTGTGGTCATTTTCAGAAGACAAGAAGAACGACACACAATACATTTGTTTTGTGTGTCACAGGTTGACGATTAAATTAATTATTACATCTTTCTAAATTCTAGTTAATTTATTGATTTTTAAAAATGAACGAAAAAACGGTTGTATACTCCAATCGAAAGGGGGCAGTGTAGAGTAGTTGCATCCGTTTGCAATACGTCATATCCGTGGTGCTCCATCTTGGGGAGTAGCGCGAAGCTAACGATAGTGTCGTATAGAAAAAAAGGTAAACATCAACTAATTTTCTGTTTTTTCTTTCAAGTAAGCCATGCGTGGCTTTTAGATAAAGTCAAATGTACTACACTGATGCAGCGTACAGCATTCATTTTAAGCTTGGAGTTCCACTTGACTCCTTAGCTTCCGTCGCTAAATTGTTCCATCTATTGACGTTGTATTTATTAATGTGTGTATTATTGCCCAGACCATGGCGGCGGACGATTATCCTCACGAGATAGACGATCAACTGAAAGGCTTTGAATCATCGGTGTTAACCGTCAAAAACATGTTGGACACGCTTATGTCGATGCCCAGAAATGAGTTGGAGCAAAAGGTAAGCCCAGTTTTGTTCATGGATTCTCATTAAAGTGAGATGCTTGTAGCTTTGTACCCTTTCTACCATTAAAGTGAGGTAATGATTGTGTGAATTTAAAAAAATGTTGTTTTGTCTACAGCTGGATCCTCTGGACCAGGCCAAACTCGATCTAATGTCTGCGTACACACTCAATTCTTTATTCTGGAGTAAGTAAATACACATTTTTTCCTCCCCACTTTCATAGGCCCTTTTTTAATATATAAAAGCTGTTACAAATTCAACTTTGATTCATCATTTTGATAATATTTCCAACATCTTTTACAGTGTATTTGGTAACACAAGGCATCAACCCGAGAGAACATGGCATCAAACAAGAACTGGTACCTACATCTTTTTTCTTTTATTTTTACCAATATTGCTCCCTTTTATTCGCTGTCTTTTTCAGGGGTGGGTAAAAATGTCAATTAAATATATTTTAACATAATTTAATTTGATCTTCTTTGGATTTTTTTTTTTTTTTAGGCCCATAAATCAACCATCTGGCAGGGGAGACATTTACCTCAGAACCGAGAAAAAAAAAACAGCCTCCTGCAGAACGTCACGATGTCCACGCAGCCCGTTGCCAGCCTGGACTGGAGCCCTGACAAGCTGGGCCTCTGCGTGTGTGCTGGATTTGACCAGACAGTGCGCGTGCTCATTGTCACCAAACTCAACACCGTGTGAAAATGAAGCCAGAGCTGGAATGTTTCACTGGGAAATTGGAAACCCAACTGGACCTTTTTGAATGGGAAGTTGCTTTTTACATGTCGAAAATTAACCACAATGTTGCCTTTCATGCTGAAAAATCATCTATTTAGGATGTTTGAAAAAAAACGTTATGTTTAATGTTTTTTATTTTTTTGTTTGTTTGAAGAATTGTGTTGAAGAATTGTGTTTCCTCCAATTAAATTGCTCTTAAGGGGGGGAAACCCTTTTTTGTAATGTAACTGACAGCTCCTCACACTTAATTGCCTATGCAGTGGTGCCTGGTGTGTTAAATAACCACATGACTTTGCTTTAGAAAAATTTGCTCTATGAATTCAAGCAGACATTAGAAATGACTACAAACAGGCTTACAACTAGCATAAATGTCACTGTGCTATAAAGTTTAAGCAAGAGATATTTTTTTATCGGAAATAGTGCAGCAACATATTGAACGACTACGACAACACTCAAAGGAATCTATCCTCGTCGAAAAACAACTTTTAATACTGCGTCTTAAATTCAAAACTTTTTTCTGCCTGTATTATACCGCCCTCTGGTGGCCAACACCTACAAGACAATAAACGCAATTTAGGGCTGGAGTGAATTCAAGGCTTTTCTATCTTTTCATTGAGGAAAGCCAAATGGAGTTTAAAAAAAAAAGGTTATTTTGAGGGGAAAAAATTACAGCTTGCATGTATGTGTACATAAACATGTGGTGGAGACTTCATAACAACACTGGTTAAAATGAACTACCCCGTGCCATGAAAAGTGTTACCGTCCATAATATTTCATAGTCGTCAAACTGAATCGCCACGGTGTTGTGTGTGTTAATCTGTGTGCTGGTTCTTTTAATAAAGAGATTTGTAACATACATAACTACCTCGGCTCCAGCACCCCCTGCGACCCTTGTGTGGACAAAGCAGATCAGAGAATGGATGGATGGATGGACAACTACCAAATACAATTGTAATTCAAATTGTTTGTTACAACAACACAAGTACCAATCAAGTCTTTGAACTAGTTTGCAAATAGCCGTTCAAAATGCCTCAGGCCAAAAATCCATTTACCTGGAATAAGCCAGGTAAATCCTCACTAAAGGCCCAGGTACCAAATGCAAACTCCTTAAAAAAAGTAAAACAACACTACGTTCTGTTCACTATTAACATGATCTTGAAAGTCCCACCCTAGTCCTAGTGTGGTCCTTTGAAGAATTGACTTTGAAATGAAGAAGCTAAAAGGTCAACGCCGGCAATTTGATCTTTTCTTCCTGACCTTTGACTTCATTTGTATCCCCTGTGATCCCTATACTGCAACATCACTCAGTAGATACGAAACATAAATGCTGTGAGGTTTATAGATAAATTATCCATATTAAACGACGCGAAAGCTCAATTTCAAGCACAAATAAACAAAGCTGTGAAAACGTTTATGTTTGTAATTGACCACACAAAATACGTCACTGCTCACATTGGCCACCAGTGAGGCACTGCCGTCTTGTGGTCATTTTCAGAAGACAAGAAGAACGACACACAATACATTTGTTTTGTGTGTCACGGGTTGACGATTAAATTAATGATTACATCTTTCTAAATTCTAGTTAAATTATGGAGTTTTAAAAATGAACGAAAAAAAAACGGTTGTATACTCCAATCGAAAGGGGGCAGTGTAGAGTAGTTGCATCCGTTTGCAATACGTCATATCCGTGGTGCTCCATCTTGGGGAGTAGCGCGAAGCTAACGATAGTGTCGTATAGAAAAAAAGGTAAATACCAACTAATTTTCTGTTTTTTCTTTCAAGTAAGGCATGCGTGGCTTTTAGATAAACTCAAAAGTACTACACAGATGCAGCGTACAGCATTCATTTTAAGCTTGGAGTTCCACTTGACTCCTTAGCTTCCGTCGCTAAATTGTTCCATCTATTGACGTTGTATTTATTAATGTGTGTATTATTGCCCAGACCATGGCGGCGGACGATTATCCTCACGAGATAGACGATCAACTGAAAGGCTTTGAATCATCGGTGTTAACCGTCAAAAACATGTTGGACACGCTTATGTCGATGCCCAGAAATGAGTTGGAGCAAAAGGTAAGCCCAGTTTTGTTCATGGATTCTCATTAAAGTGAGATGCTTGTAGCTTTGTACCCTTTCTACCATTAAAGTGAGGTAATGATTGTGTGAATTTAAAAAAATGTTGTTTTGTCTACAGCTGGATCCTCTGGACCAGGCCAAACTCGATCTAATGTCTGCGTACACACTCAATTCTTTATTCTGGAGTAAGTAAATACACATTTTTTCCTCCCCACTTTCATAGGCCCTTTTTTAATATATAAAAGCTGTTACAAATTCAACTTTGATTCATCATTTTGATAATATTTCCAACATCTTTTACAGTGTATTTGGTAACACAAGGCATCAACCCGAGAGAACATGGCATCAAACAAGAACTGGTACCTACATCTTTTTTCTTTTATTTTTACCAATATTGCTCCCTTTTATTCGCTGTCTTTTTCAGGGGTGGGTAAAAATGTCAATTCGTCATTACATCGTAGCACTTCCCCTCACAATCAATATTGATTCTTCAACTTCCTCCCACAATTCCATGTTGAATCAGCTAATCGATTGACCTCCTGGCCAGCGGGGGTTGTTCCACATGTGATTTGCCCAGCAACAACATGGCAACCGCAAGCTGTAGCATCCTGAAGAAAGCACCTAATGCTTTAAAATCTGACACTTAGGATCATTTACTATTTTACATTTTTAGTACAGGGCTGTGATCATGTTTTTCACGTTTGTACTCCAGACACACAAATACGTTTTCTTTGTGGATACTTTTTCGTCATTTTCATGTTTATATGACGGCATTCAATTTTCACCCTATCAAAATCACATTTTTATTTTTTTTAACTTCACATGTGGTCTTGATTCTCATCTCAATGAAATCTACCGTGCCAATCCCTTGTGTCTTTGTGTACCCGTCAGGAGCGAATAAGGACACACATGAGCAGAGTGAAAGCCATCGCGGACAAGAAGAAGGCGGCTCGTCTGGATAAGGGCGCTGCTGAACGATTCATGAGGAACGCCCTCTTTGATCCAGAGGACAAGGCGTCCAAGAAAAAAGCGGTGGCTAACAAAACGCCCAACGTGAAGCCAGCGAAGCGGCCAAAGAAAAGCTGAGGAGGATGTTTTTGAATGCCTCGAGCGGAACTCATCCAGAACTGTAGCAAAACATATTTCTAAAATGGCCTCCGTCAGTATGTTTGTGTTCATGATGTTTGAGGAAATGATTATGTATTTAGATTTATGCGTTTCGTAAGACTTGTTTAGTAAAATGAAAATGTCTTTCAGGGCATTAGAATTTTTTTTTTAATACACAAGTTTGATGCAAAACGTTCTGAAAGTGATTCTATGAATCCAGTTGGATTTTTTTTTTCCTGTTAAATCCTGTGTGTTGCTTCAAGGGTTGGCACTTGAATTAAACACTTTGATGTTATGATGTTGTTTCTGTATTTATTTCATTTTTTTAAAAAATGAAAGTTTAATCATGTTGTAGAATTTTACCCCTAATATTCAGAGGCATAAATCAGCTTTGAGTATGATGTAGAGTTCTACACCATTGATGAATTATCGAAAAATCTGAGGTGAGAGAAAAATAGTAATGTTTATCAATTAGATTTGAGATTAAGTATCAAGTATACATTTCTGTCAAACTATGGTTAAAGAGGCAACCAAAATAGAAACTCGGTACAATGCAAACATAATAAAAGTGAATAATCAAAACCAAGCATGAATATTTTTTCTAACAGTTTTTGATGGAGCTTTTGGTGTTTTTTTTTTTGTTTTGTTTTTTGTTTTTTTTTTGTGACTGTTGTTTGTAAATCAGGCAGAACACTGCTCCCTGAAAATGGTGCTCATGGTAACAATTAGGAGGTGCCCTGGAGGGGCGTCAAAAACTTGTGATTAGAAAATAGCCAAATACAGTGTGGCCATAATGAGACTTCCTTTAATAATAACCTCTGTCACTTTTAATAAAGACACATGCACGTTGTTTCCTTTGTGTATTTCGCTTTTGCAGCGCTCAGATCTTTATCTTAATGCGCCTGCCACTCTTGTGGGTCCCTCTAATCAAGGCCGGGAAACAACGTGGCGGTGGTGGGTTTTCAGTCTGGGGAATTTATCTTTTCATTCTTTTCATCATTCCATAATGTCCCTGCGGCAACTGCATCCAGAGATGACGTTAGCATAGTCCTCCTTCCTTGTGACTTTGTTTTTTTTTTCTCCCCCCACTCTTTTGTTGTTCCGCACGCCGCTCAAAGAAGTGTCAGAATTTGGCATGTGGCCTTGGTGGAAAATAACTTCTACGTTCATTTTCCGTGTTGAATGATCGGCCTCCGTTTCCATTCAAGGAGGTAAATTTTAAAGAGCAGATGGTAATATTTATAGCATGTGGGAGGGACAGCATTAGTGGTTAGCACATCTGCCTCACAGGTCACAAAATCTGGATGTGAATCTCAGCTTCGGCCTTGCTGTGTGGAGTTTTCACATTCCAAAAACACATGCATGTGGTGGTCATTGAAGACTCTTCATTGCTCATAGGTGTGTGATTGTTAACTTCCACCAACGTCAAAACCAATTTTGATGTTTCTCTGTATCATCTTGAGATGTTACCACCTTCCTTCTCTAGTATCACGTCAGCTGACTCTTGGTACTGGAATCTTTTATCAAGCTGCTGTTTGATAACTATTAGCTGGTGGCTAACGCTAGCTACTTGGGCGTTTGGGCATAATTTTAGGGCGCAAGTGAGTGTGTGTGAATGTGAGTAGTATGTGTGAGGGAGCCAGGTGTGTGTGTGTGAATGAATGAATGTATATGTGTGTGAGCGTTATGAGTGTGTATAATGTGTGAGAGTGAAAGAAGGAAAGAGCGTGGGCAAGTGTGAGTTGTGTGTGCCAGTGACAGTGAATGTGTGTGTTTGTGTACACTACAAAAGTGAGGAAGCGTGTGCTTGACTGCATGAATAAGTGAGTTTGCAAATCGGCAGTGTGTTGACTCAACTGCGGTGGTCCGTGCGGGCAAGCAAAATGAGGAAAACTAAAGCGTCTCCTTTTTGAAATTGTGACCTTCCGAGGCGTGAAACTACCGGACGAGGCGTCAAAGCAGGCAACACAAAGCACATGTGTACGAGCCGAGCAGCTGCCCGCCATGCGCGGAAGACGCCGAGTGGAGTTTTCGAATTCATCCATCTCAGACACTTCTCTGTCAAGGATGTTCTTTCACTTACACATTTCACGCTTTTTAAAATGTATGTTTTTCTTCCCTCTGTAGCGAGTACCCTGCACAGCGCAGCAAGAAAGAATCAGACGGCAACAGCG